AAAATATACAGGATCCTAGATTGTTACTAAACATTTCAGGATCCTGGATCGTTACTAAACATTTCAGGATCCTAGATCGTTACTAAAAATTTACAGGATCCTACATTGTTATTAAACATTTACAGGATCCTACATTGTTACTAAAAATATACAGGATCCTACATTGTTACTAAAAATATACAGGATCCTACATTGTTACTAAAAATTTACAGAATATTAGACTGTTACTAAACATATACAGGATCCTAGATTGTTACTAAAAATTTACAGGATCCTAGATTGTTACTAAAAATATACAGGATCATAGATTGCTACTAAAAATATACAGGATCCTAGATTGTTACTAAAAATATACAGGATCATAGATTGTTACTAAACATTTACAGGATCCTACATTGTTACTAAAAATATACAGGATCCTAGATCGTTACTAAAAATTTACAGGATCCAAGACTGTTACTCAAAATTTACAGGATCCTAGAATGTTACTAAAAATTTACAGGATCCTAGACTGTTACTTAAAAATTTACAGGATCCTGGATTGTTACTAAAAATATACAGGATCCTAGATCGTTACTAAAAATATATAGAACCTTAAACAACAGAGGTTGGCGAATTCTACCAACTCAGTCACTGTGTACCTTTGGGTCGTTCTTTATTTTTTATTACCCGTGTTAATATATTCTGGCTATTATAGATATGTGTTAATATATTCAGGCTATTATAGATCTGTGTTAATATATTAAGGCTATTATAGATCTGTGTTAATATATTAAGGCTATTATAGATCTGTGTTAATATATTAAGGCTATTATAGATCTGTGTTAATATATTAAGGCTATTATAGATCTGTGTTAATATATTCAGGCTATTATAGATCTGTGTTAATATATTAAGGCTATTATAGATCTGTGTTAATATATTAAGGCTATTATAGATCTGTGTTAATATATTCAGGCTATCATAGATCTGTGTTAATATATTCAGGCTATTATAGATATGTGTTAATATATTCAGGCCATTACTCATCCTTGTTAACATCATAAGACAGTTCTCACTTCCTTTTTTTTTTTTCCAACCACGCGACTTGTCGACATATACGGTTACACTTCAACTTAAGGATTCTGAATTCAAGCTTTTGCTCACAATGTACACGTACGCCCTTTCGGTTCTATGAGTGGGTGCTGTTACTTAAAACAGGAAGTTAGGTGTGAGTTATAGCTTATTCACAGAAAACCACCCACACATCATGAAAATAATAACACAGGATTACTTTATTTAACTGTTTAGTGACCACAGGTTGATGTTTAAACACCAAGTGTAATTAGAAATACAAACGAAACATGTTGTGTTTCTTTAAATTTGGTGAATTTCGCGCAAATCTATTCAGGACTATCTGCGGTAGTTCGCCCTAATTTTAAAGGCAGCTAGTCAACACCACCCACCGCCAACTCTTCGTCTACTCTTTACCAACAAATAATGCGATTCTCCGTCACATCATAACGCACCCCCCCACTCCATCTGAAAGGACGAGCATATTCGGTGACGGGTTTCGATCCCACGGTCCGCAGATTACAAGTAGACTGCACTAGCCACTAGGCCAGGAACGTTTTGAATCGTGGTAACTGGGTCTGTTTGGTTAGTACTGCTACAGGCTATGATACTCAATACTCAAACTGCATCATATTGATTAATATTATATAATTTTCCGTGTTAAAACACTAAGTGAACAACTCTGAGCAGAAAATAATAATTGGGTGAAATTACTTGTTTCCTGTGTAGGGGATCCCAGTATTACTTAGTGGATTAATTGCAACTCTAATGATGTTTTTTAATCGTGCAAATGATATGTTATTATAGACCCTGCAGCCAAAAAACTCGTGGATCAACAAGTAATAAATGATTCAGAAAAAAAACAAAAGATGGCGCCCATATCGGTCATCCTAGGGTAAAGCAAGTTACTTCTTAATTGAATAAAACCTTTGTGGGTTGTGGTTAACAAAAAAAAAAAACTTTCTCAAGCCCTATAATTTTAACTTCCCCGAAAAATAAAGTGTGGCGTAAAAAGATGATGAATTTACTGACTGCTTGCCATCCCAAACCACCCAGTCAGTCGCGAAAGACTTTCAGACTCTGTGTCTTGAGTATATTAGTGACGTCTCACTGCATGACGTAGAGACAAAAGCAACACGTATACCGAAACAGCAGAATCGTCTTCCGCCCCCTCGTGGCCAACACCACTAGTTGTGGGAAATTTGGATTCGAGCCAGATGTGCAATGAAAAGCCACAATGATGAAAGTTTCCTGGAACAAACTAAACATGAGATGATGTTGATGACAAAATCACTTACAAAACGTGACGTTCCGACAACGTTTAACTGACAACCAGCTTGCTAAAACTCGAAATATTGAAGTATAACATCAGTTTTAATCATTTCTCTTTACGTAGCTTAACTGAAGATAAAAGAAATATAGAAATTATGCTGATATTTTCAAACTGGATTTCCGGAATAGCGGAACACTCACTTCTAAACTAACGTTTTCAAACTGGAACGTGGACGACGTAACTCATAAAAAAAATTTTCATTCCAGACTTTTGTTTTTTTTTTAATTCATCTCTTTAAGACATCTACCATAAAAGCTATAAATATGACGCTTAATTTGTTTCTGTTTTTGAGTATTCGCGCCAAGCTACACGAGGGCTATCTGCGCTAGCCGTCCCTGATTTAGCAGTGTAAGACAGCTAGT